CAAGCTAAATTCGAGTTTGACTTTTCACACTAACTTTTGTCCCTCTCTCAGCTTGTACCCCTGAGATGTGTACTTACTGTCCACCTAATGTAACTTCACAAGTATATTTTAAAATTGCTAATCAGGCCTTGGACTCTATTTTCGTCCAGTAAGCATTAAAAAACCCCACGCTTCAATGATGTGTTCAAACTTATTCATAAATCAACAACTGAAAGAAGTTACATCCCATTCATTTAGTGTCAACAAGTTCAGCTTAGGGCAAAAGTGTCATAAGGCCCTCCATCTTCCCTGGCAGAGATGGACACTGGTAAATTCCTTGCCTTATAAGGCATGGCCTACTTGTTCACCTAGTAATTTTTCATGCCCAGTAAATTTTCATGTGGGCATTTTAAACACTTTGGTTTTTATGGAAATTGACCAAGAAAAAAAAGGAAATTTTTCATTTTTCCTAGATTTTATAGATTGTATTATACTGATTTTCAATTTATCAGTGTATCAGTCTACCAAACTGAGCCCAAGAAAGTGATATGATACCGAAGAGCAATCAACATCAAGTTAAGAGTGTATGTACCTTTGTATATAGGATACTTTAGTATCAAATGGAATTGAAGATGGACTGCGTGGGGCAGGAGCTGGATGATGGAGACAACATTTCATGTGTTAATTGAACCATACCATGTTACTCACTTCACCTTTTATAAACAGAAAACACTTGCATTAGCTCGTTGAAACTTTTGATGATCGTGACTATGCAGATCAAAATCATAGTTCTGTCATATTTCATCATATTTCTATCAAATCCTAAAAAGAATTTACCAACCCCACCAGTTTCCCTCTAAAAAATTCTTCTTGAAGTCAAGGCACTAGGTGAATACTAAGGAAAATGATGCAGTTTACTCTGTGTTAGAAAGAAAATTGCAGAAAGACTACTTTTTACAGAACACATTTCTGTGCTAAATGGTTGAAAACACAGAAATTAACAAATACTTATTAATCAATTACTTTGAATTTATCTCGTTTTCTCTTTCCTAGAGATGAATTCTTTCCAGTCCCTTTCGTCACTGGCAATCTTCTTGGTGACCTCTTGTTTTTAACTTTTCACTTCCCCCAGCTTTTATCTCAGAGCACTGTTTAGTGCCAAGCACAGGTCACTTGTTTAGAACGATATCTCCTTAAACAGAGATGACTCTTTCATTGAGAATTAAGAAACGATCTTAGCTTGTAGACTCTCTGAGGGTCCTCTCTGGTTCAGTTTTATATTTCTAAAATATAGGATAGTATCCAGACCATAGAAGTCACTCAACAAATATATATGTTTAATAAGAAAGTTGATTTTCCAGAGCTTCAATACTGTCATATTAAATTAATTAATGAACATTAATTATAACTGTACTAGAAGAGTTTCAGTGCTTGGAGATGATAACAGACTACCCTGACTGAGCATGCATCCTCCTTGTCAGGCATTGTACACCCATGAATGAATCAAGTGCTCACTTATGAGCCAAGTTCCCTTTATTAATCTATTTTATATTTGAGGAAACTAAGGAATAGATTAATTAAGTAACCTGCCCAGATTCACAATTCCGTTCCTAGAGTTATAATATGAACACAATCTGACCTCAAAGTACACTTTCTTTACAGCTCTGCTAGAAAATAAAAACTGACCATCCGTCTTAGGCAATATTAGTATTTCCCAAAATATTTGGATTTCGTGATGGGGTTGACAGCTTTAATTTTGTCAAGCATGGTATGAACAAAATTACTATTGCCCAAACTGTGTACAATAAAATATAAAATATATATTTTAGCACAGAAAATAGAAATTACAATAATCATCATCATAAAGGACAATTATTTAAATTGATATTAAAAAATTATGAACCAGTAAGTGCATTGTCCTCATTTCACTGTCCCCTGGTCACACTGCCTTTGTAGATGGCATTGGCAAGTACACTGGCGTTGGGGAACCTCTTCAGTATATTATGCACTTTTGCCATGAACCTTTCCATTTCCATTTGTCTCCTTCTGCCTACGATGGATTTTAGCACACCCTGGAAGTCTATACACAGCAAAAGGGCATCATTTGCTCCTTGTGGAAATGAGAACATGACCATTTCACCAGCTGACCTGCATTTCGGGGTATCTGGGCATGAAGCCAGCAGCCTTAGAGAATTAGGCTAGGATGAAATCCTCTTGAGTTTATATCCAAGAAGATATTTTTCAGTGCCCCCATGGATGAAAGGCCAGGATAAAGCTGATTCTTTATGACTAGCTAACATAAATTGATAGTATCATAAATAAAAAGCTATGTTTGAGGCTAAGTTAAAACATGAGTAGTTCTTCAAAGGTACAAGTTCAATTTTAGCTCACTCTTTGGCAGCAAATTCAGTACCAATTCTGTCTCAGTACTAATTATTTCTGACGGCAGATAAAAGTGCATGTTTTCTTGTATTTCCTCACTTGTTAAAAATATTTACAAAGCGGAACATAGAATATGGCGCCCGTGAGTGGTATATTTGTATTCTCCCCAAGTAAAACAGAAAAATTGAAAATATTTCATCAGAAATATGTTTAATTATGTCTATATAGTTCAACAGTTATGTTTTATTACGTTCAAATCATTTCATATTGGTAAAACACAGATTGCATACTCTGATTCATGAATTCTCTTTTCTGATGGCCAGCAAAATTGTCAGCATACTTGAATATTTACCCCTATCTCCTGCATCCTGCCTTCTGAGAAGGGATAAAATATTGCCCCTCTGGTCAAAGACAGATTCCTCCTTCTATGCTCCTCTGAATGCCTTCTCAGCTTCCTTTCTCAAGAACTTCTTTTCTGAATGTCTCCTTTCCACTTTCGTTATCATCTATCTCACCCTCTTCCTGGATTATTCACATAAGCCTACAATCTCCTATCTCAAAGCAAAACAAAATGAAAAACTAAAGTCCTCCCTTTTTCCCATGGATCCACTTTCTGTTCACCTTCATACAAAAATTTATTGAAAAGTTTATGCAGAGATTTACATGAAAGATCAAGATTATGATGACGTCAAGGAGATAAAAGAAATACGGAGGAGAGGCAACAAGTCTATTTTTAATTGAATGTACAATTAGGTAAGAAGAGTTCGTGAGCATATGTACCACATTCTCTTTTTTCGAATGAGTTATCTTTTGCTGCATATTATATTACCAAAAACTTGCCTTAAAACATCGTGTGTTTATTATCTCACAGTTTGTGTTGAACAAGGGTATGGGCCTGCTGCTTCAGAGACTCTCACAGTCTGTAATCTAGGAATCCTCTGTCTTTAGTCATCTCAAAACTTAACTAGGAAAGGATTCATTTCCAAGCTCATGTGATTATTGGTAGAATTCAGATCTTCGTGAGTAATTGGACTGAAGACCTCTGTTCTTTACCACACAGGGCTCTCCAACATGGCAGTTTGCTCCATTAAACACTATAAGCTGAGAAAGCAATATAGAGAGTCTACTCACAAGATCAAAGTCACAATCGTTAGTAAACCTAATCAGAAGTGACATCACAGAGGTGACATCCTTTCACCTTTGCTGTCTTTTACAGGTTAGAAATAAGCTGGTAGACCCATATCAAGGGGAAAGACTACACAAAAGTGTGAATATCACACTTTTTGGGGATCGTTGGGGGCTATCTGAGAAATCTGTCTACACTCATTTCCCCAACTCCTGACCGTGTAAATGTCAAAAATAATTTTCCAGAAAGAATAAATATAATGTAATAGCAATAATAATAATCATCTAAATGTAATATTGAAAATTATATAAATGCAAATGAAATTATTGTTAAGTGCATAAAAACAGCTCATAAATGACCAAATGCAATGTGATTCAAATTTTATTGAAATAGCAAATGGAAAACATCAGAACTGTATAATGAGCAGGTGGATGGTACAATTTCAGATCATAAGGAAAAAAACCTTTGTACAGTATCCTACACCATTTTTTTCAGTATACATAAAAGAAAAAACAAAGGCAAAGATAAGGAATCAAGAATGTAATAATATTGTGCCAAGGAATGTTCTAGGTATATTATGCGTGGTTATTACACGTTATTATTTATGTATGTAATTTAAGGATTTTATTATGTTATGAGGAAGCAATTGCTATTATTAACCCCATTTCAAAGATGAGGAAACTGACCCAAAGTATCATAACTAGTAATTGATGGAGTCAGAATTTAAGCTTAGACTTTCTGACCCCAGAGTCCATGCTCTTAAATACCACACAAAACCACCTGTCCAGTTGTTACCTGCAATGTGTTTCCATAGGTCTTTCTGGAATAATTAGAAATAGAAGGCCAAAAAGTATTACTAGTTCAAAAGTAGTAAACTAAGACTGACAAATGATTACGTTTTTTAGTTTAGTGTCCTAAGCTAAGACACTTTCGAGAGTGAAAGGAATTGTTGTTAATAATTATGCAGGAGTAGCAATCATAAGCAAGCCACTGTTCCAGGCAAACTGGGATATTTGGTTACCTTATTTTTTTGGAGTGCACCAAGATTGGCTGGTTGAAAAGGCTTTCCAAGGGAGTTTTCAGAGAGGAGATAACTGATTATTTCCTGTCTATCTTTGACTCTTTATGAGTGTAAAATGTGTTTGTGGGTCAAATACCATTGCTTTATTCTCATTAGATGACAACCTCTTCTCACGCATCTACCAGAAGCTTCCTTTTCTTTACATGAGTTAGAGCAGTTGAGGAACTAATGTTACCAAAGTGAAGCTACCAGTATCGAAGAGTGTGAACAAGACTAAGACTTTAATAAAACATATCACTTGTTTGACTAATATATCCCATCCCTAGTTCTGCCAGTTAGCATAACCTACTACATCAGGCAAATTCTTTTTTTTTTTTTTTTAATATACTTCTGGTTAGGCAAATTCTGATTATAATTATATCAGTCACATTTAACTGGGCATGATTTTGCCTTCTGGGAAATTTTGGCAATATCTGGAAATATTCTTGGTTGTCATGACTGAGGAAGTTGCTGGCATCTAGTGGGTAGAAACCAGGGATGCTGTTACACATCCTACAATGGACAGGACACCCCTCTCCTCACCACCTGGCTCCTTCCGCTCTTTGCTACCTGCCACCCCCCAAAAAAAGAATTATGAGACCAAATTGCCAATAGTGCTGAGGTTGGGAAACCATACTTTATATGAAGGAAGAAATGAAGAGCTCTTTAGTTGTTCGGTTTTTTCTTTCCTCTTTACTGTGAAAAGAAATGGCTACTTAAACAATTCAATCAAAAGAATCTGTATGAATGGTGGTTAGGGAACCCACCATAATAACCCACAGTCATTATGACAGTGGGTTAGGGAATCAATTTTAATGTGGAGTCAAAGAAGCCCTCACTTCAGCTCTCCAAATTCAGTTTTTCATTAAGAATCTCACAAGTGTATCTTCAACAAATTCAGAAAATATCTGTCTCAGCCTCTCAACCTTCTATGTCAGAAATAATACATTAAACTGTCTTCCCCTTCAAACAATTTCACATTATTATTAATCATCAAGAACTACTGCGTGATTCTGAAAGGGCAACGTAAAAGGAAAGAGAGGGAGAAAAGTCCTGTTAGGTGAACTCAACCATAGGTAAAAAGAGATTAAAAAGTGTTGAATATCATAGTTTTAAAAAGTAGCCTGATCCGGCTTAAATTAATAAATTGAATGCATTTGAAGCAATTATAAAATATTGTCACAACAAATATTTAAATAAAGGAGAAATACCTCAAACATTCCATCATTGTAGTAGCTTATTCCTATCAAAGTGTCCATGAATTTTATTTTTGATTATTTCAGTTTACTGAAGTGAAAGAAAATATGAAGTCCTTTCTGCTATTTTTAAGATTACATTTATAGAAAAGCCATTAGAAAAACAATGTGGAAATATGACATCATTGCTATATGTGTATTTTGCCTATTTGTATATTTGCTATATGTGTATTTGCCTACTCGTAAATCCATTTGGAAAGAAAAAATTTGAATTAAATAAACAATTCTATTTGTTTGTTTATTTATTTTTCTTTTTGGTGAGGAAGACTACCCTGAGCTAACATCTGTGCCAATCTTCCTCCATTTTGTATGTGGGATGCTGCCACAACATGGTTTGACCAGAGGTGTGTAGGTCTGCTCTGGGATCCAAACTCCAGGTTACTAAAGTGGAGTGCACAAACTTACCCACTACGCCGCCAGGTGGCCCCAATAATTTTATTTTTTAATAATTAAAACTTTGGAAATGAAACTGGCTTTTTTTTTTGTTCGGGAAATATGGAAAGGCATAGGAAGCAAATTAAGATTATATGACATATCGCTACCCAGAAGACATCACTATTAAATTTTCCTTCTTCTGGGTTCATGCACACACTCATATATAAATAGTATCTTTCTGTGGTTACTGTTTTATAAATTTTTTTTTGTTACTGTGAAGACAATTGACTGATTCAATGCAAACAATAATTTAATAACAAGTTTGGTCAAAAGGCTAATTGCTACTTTTTAAAATAGATCTGAGTATAATTAGCTATCTGATACTGGTTATTTTTCTTTTTTGAGCCTTATTGTTTTAATTTTTATAAGAATTATTTTCCATTTATGAGAAAGTCATCTAAAAAACACCTCTAAGAGACTTCAAATGTAGCCTGTGTGGGAGATCAAAATTTGGCCATCCTAAAATATATCTCTTTACCTTGATTGTTTTCTCTGAGGGACATTTGACCTCCCCCACTAACTGCCTAAAGAATTTGACATGGTGGCTCCTTCCTGGAACAGATCTATCATGATGGCTGTAAAGATAATGTAGGATAGAGGTTACAATAGAAAAGGCACCAACAAGCCCATCTTATCGGAAATTGTGTCTCTCTGGCCACATTCTCTGGATGGCCCCCCGGGGGGAGTTGCCAGATAATCATTTACATTTATAAGGGAAATCTCCATTTGTAAAGGTATCTCCTTCTCTGTTTTGGGAAGAGGGGGGGATGGCCTCATTTCTAGAGGCTTATCAATGTGGAAGGTGAGGCCTTAAATCTGCATAATAACCTTACTCTTGTTTACTGTGCTTTAGTGGTAATCTCCTGTGACTGACTCCCCCCACCCCCAACATCCTCCTTTGTCGTTGGCTGAACATGGTATTTAAGATGAGAATTTCTGCTATTGTGTTGAGAAACACATGGTCCCTGCTTTCTCCCACGTATACGTGTTATTAAACTTGGTATTATTTTCTCCTGCTAACCTGTCTTGTTAATTATTTGGCCAGCCATAAGAACCTTAAGGAAAAGGGCAGAGGGAGAGTCTCCCTCTTCCCCCGACTCCTGGAATCCAATTTCCCTCATAAGTACATTTTCTAAGTGATAGAAACTATTTTGACTAGTCCTAACTTGATTTCCCCACATTCTTTTCTATAGAATACACACATGCACACACACACAAATGAACATCATTACATTAATTGACACAAGATTAAATTAATATTAGGAATGATTCATGAGGAAGAAAACTTATTTTCTATGGCCTTAAGACATCTATCACAAATTTGGATATATAAATCTAAACATTGTCAAGACCATGATGGGTCTGAGACTTTCACTACTTGGCAAGTTAATAAGCTAGTCTGCTGACATCTTATGGATGTTAGTGTCACTGACTAGGTGCCTGGAGAAACTCAAAGGTAGGTTTGGAAGCAATTAACTGTTTTTCCAGGTTGTTTCTTTTCCTTTTGTGTGTTAAGGAGATGTAACCACCAGCCATCTTGAAACGGACCAAGCAAGGCACTCAAGGGAGATGTAACCAGCAGCCAACCTGAAACTGACCAAGCCTCACCACAAGAGCTATGCCCATGACCTTTGCCTTATTTTTAAGGCAAAGATCTCTCCAGGAGAAGCTTAGGCCTCATTATGTGGAAGCATGTTCTCCAACTGAGCCTGCGCAGGCAAATACCCACCTCTCCCTTTTGAATATTCATCCCCCCACCAAATAAAAGTTCCTGCTTTCCTTTGTTCAGGGACGCCATGACTTTGGAAACGATTCCTCATGGCCTCCTATATGCTGCAAATACACTTTACTTTGTGAGACAGCTTCCACCCGTGTAGAGTTTTATTTAACTCACCACGAGGTGAGCTCACTTGGTTCCGTATCATTAGCAGCAGACATGAAATTTTGGTCTCAGAGACAAAGGATAGTTTATTATATACTGCAATAGTAATACTCAATGTATGATCATTTTCTTATGGTGGTTCCCTGAGCCTAAATCCCCACAGGATGATGCAACAAGGCAAGGGGATGCCTGCACAAGCAGTGATTTGCATAACAGGAGTGAAACACAAGCTCTAGCAAGTCCGATCTTTTATAACGGGCTGCAAGCAAATCTGTCCCTTTGCCTTGAAGGGAGACATTACCTTTATTATACTGGACGTTAAACAAACTTGCCCTCTGCTCCAGACAGAAATACTATCTCTATCTTCTAAGTCTGTTCACTATACAAGCATTCTTGAAAAGATAATCTAGAACAAATTACTGTCAATGCTTCTGCTTGCGTGATTGCAGAAATGTTAGCAATCCATGGAGAAATATCTTCCAACACATGGTAGGTAGCCCAAGGATCAACAGAGACACGAATCTGAACAACCTCAGGTGGATTATCTAGTTTTATAATCTACACAGTTCAACATAGGACTAACGTGATGTAAAACAAACTTGTAGATCAAAAAAGGATATTATAAATTCCCTGATTATGCACTTAAACTGCTATATGTGAAAATGTCCTATGTCATAGTTAATCTTTCCCCAGGGAGAAAAAAGGTAAAATAAAGTGTTCTCTTAAAAAGACACATTATAAACTTTTAAAATAGGTAATTGACTATTTGTTCAAATATTAAAACAATTATGAAGCAAGCTCTCTTGTTCCTTTCCTCTCCATTCCCCTGCCATCTAATGTTAACCACTTTTTCAGTATCTTAGGTATCCTTTCAGCTTTTCTAAGCAAATGTGAATAAACTCTTGTTTTCCCATTTTTTAAGCAAAAGTAGCATACTGTTTCACAATTCTATTGATACTTTTTCTTGGTCTTTATTGAATCATTTCCCCCACGTCTACATACAGAGAAAGAGAGCTTCATCTTTTTTATATATGCATAGTATTTCATTATGTTGATATATTTTATTTTCCATTACAAAAATCTTTATCATTGAATAAATGAGTTCTTTTCAGTCTTTTGCTACTTAAATAATGCAAAGATTTATTATAGACATGTCACTTTACATCTGTACAGGAATAACTTCAGGATAAACATCAGAAGTAGCATTACTGGGTCAAGGGGAAAATCTGAAATTTTTTGGTAGATATTGCCAAATTACCCTCGATAAGGACTGTATCATTTTTGCATTCTCACCAGCAGTACATAAGATTGCTTGTTTTCAAAGGGCTTTATTCAAATTAATGATGCTCATACTGGGTATTCATCTGGAAATGATAAAATTGGCCCATAATACATACCATATACTAGTGTAAACTTTAAATGGATCAATGATTCAAATGCAAAAAAAAAAAATCATAAAGCCATAAATACTAGAAGAAAACGTAAGTGAATGGCTTGCATACCTGGATAGATAAAAATGTTTTAACCATAAATACACATACCCACACCCACATAGACATCTTCTGCATGATAATTATAATAAAGTAACAATGATAATAAGGAAGAAAACACTGAAAAGAAGAGCAATGAGGGAACAATAGCCCTAAAAGATTTGTTAATTTGTAATGAAAACGTTATCTTACTGTTTGTGAGTAGAAAAAAAGACAAAAAAAAAAGCTCTGATACTGACTCAAACACAAATGGGAATTTCGGGAACCATTTCAATGAGAGCAGTTAAAGATAGACTGTTCTACCTTGTTAGACCGTTAACTTTTTCTCATTTCTCTAGAGGTTTTGTTTTTCGATTCTTTTTTTTTTGAGTTCTGTCGGTTCTCTCTCACTTTTGTGGGTTGCTGGCCATGTCTTGCTTGTGTTCTTGTATTTCTGCTTTGAAATTTTCCTTCATTCTCTGATTCGTTCATCATTACGATAATTATTTTTAATTCATGGTAGAATGTTTACAATTTACCTGTTCCATGGTGGGGTTACTCGATGAATTATTTTGTAGAAAAATTCTGTTGCTTTTTGTCATTTATCTAATCCTTATTTGAATATATTCTTTCTTCCTTTTTGGTTACCCATACCTGGGCCAGCGGCAATTTTATGACCAGCTCTGTGCAAGAGATTCCTGCCTGGGAGTGGAGGGGCGTTAGCAGGAGTAATGGGGAAGATCTCTAGCCTTTGTAAAGGTCTTCTTCCTCCCGATAAGATGATTTGCTGTTTTCTTCATAGTGCTTCTGCCCAGCCATGCCTTTGCTGCCTTTCCAAACTTGAGAAGGTGCTGGGGGCTCTTCACTCCCTGCTCTGTACTCCCAGAGTTCCTCCGTCAGCCACTGTTCCCCATGAATCCCCAGTATGATTCCCTTCCTTCTAGAAGGAGATTTTTCCTGGAGCTTTCAGAGCTTTTCACCTCGTGCATTTTTCCCACCTTCTCTCTACCCCTTTACTACTACTCTTGCTTCTTTGAAGAAATCTGTCCTGCTCATAGCTTTTCTTACTAATGATGGAGTGCTCACGTTCTGGGAATGATTTTATTTTGTTTGTGTGAGGAAGATCAGCCCTGAGCTAACATCCGATGCCAATCCTCCTCTTTTTTTTTTTTGCTGAGGAAGACTGGCCCTGGGCTAACATCCAAGCCCATCTTCCTCTACTTTATATGGGATGCCGCCACAGCATGGCTTGATAAGCAGTGCATCCGTGCACGCCTGGGATCCGAACCTGCGAACCCCGTGCCGCTGCAGCGGAGCACACACTTAATCGTTGCGCCACCTGGGAATGATTTTTAACTGTAGGTGTCCGGGGTTCTGCGGCTCAGCTCCCTGTGTAACTTCTTAGAGAAATTCCTACACTGCTGTACTGGGCTCAGCTGTTTTGGTAACACTTAAAAGAATATTGCAGTTTGCAGGTTTTATGTCACAGTTTGTATGAAAATTAGCTTAGAGTTTTTTCCCCCTTTTTACTTCGTTTCAGGAGGAGAAATGGTAAAATTCAGAACTTAGTTGCCTCTATGTTAATTCTAGTAATCTTTTTGAGTGTTTTATTTTTAATGGGGGGCTTGATGCCCATTTTAATTAAAACACAACATTTAATCACCTATAAGTGATAGTCTCATTTCATACAAATATTGCTAATAGGCATATGATTTGATTAAACAGAGAAATGCAGCGTTATAAAGTTCTTAACATGATCTAGTTAGTGTAAGAAGTTATCTTCTTTATAATTCCTGCCTAATCTTGATTTTTGCAGCAGTTCAGAAAGCACAGGAACAACTTAAGGAGAATTGATACTCTCTGGAGAGAATCTCAAGAGTTACAGTTGAGAAAATATTAAGTGATGTTTTGAGTAACGTAATATCATCGTGAGAAAATTATATCAAGAAATGATTCTCTGGATTCTTCTTACTAATTGCAAATTTCCCTACAGCCAGCCTAAGCATTATATTTCAAGTTATAACTCACTCTGCTGCTCTAGTAGCAAGACAAAAAAAAATCTTTCTATTTTTTTGATTTTCCGTCCCATCGATACTGGCTTCATTTTGCATCAGGATGATTGGTGAGGTCACTCCTTCAGAGTTAACCTTGCTAACTCTACATTATTAATTCATTTATTTCTTACTTTGTCTTACTTTGAAATGCAAAAAACAAAAACAAAAACAAAGAAGATTTGACAATGTGTATTGTTTGGCAGTCTATCTCAAAAGCAAACAGCACTGTTTATATTCGTTTTTAACATTATTAATTGTTGTATTTTCCAAAGATTTGCCCTTTTCTCATAATGCTGAAGACCTCAGTATTTTACTGACCGTTTTAAGGGGTGGCATCTCTTAGGCAATAAGACCGTTCTATTTAATAGATATAGTAGAACATGAATTTTAATTAATATTGTTTCTCATAATATCCATTGTGGGGAATTATAAAATTATTCCACTGGATGTTGTCATTTATCTAATCATTGCAGGCAAATATTTTATTTTCTTTCAGAGATAGTTCTAATCAACAATGGAAACCCATTCATTATTTTGTAATAACTGAATATTTCTTTTGGTTCAATGTCTACTTCTCCTTCCAAAATTAGTAATTAGGGCTAAGCTGATTGCTTCGGTGGGCTCATTCATGCATCTGCAGTCAATTGGAGAGTTGTCTGAGCTGTGGCTGATCTAGGGCTGGGACAGATCACCCAATGTGGTCTCTCATTCTCCATCAGCCTAGCTGGTGCTTATTCCCACGGTAGTTGCAGCAGTTAAGAAAGAGAACAGAAGCATTCTACTGGCTAAAGCAAGTCACAAAGCCATTCTAGATTTAAAGAGTAGAGAAATAGTCTCTACTCGTGATAGCAAAAGCTGCAAAGTCGCGTTGTGTTGCCAAGGGTGTGCGAACATGCGCAAAGAATTGAGGCCATGTGTCTACCAACCCTTTTAATATGGAGCTACCCTACCTTCATCCCTGATACTTCTGTTAATTATGGATGGTGATCTTCCTTTCACCTCCTGACTGGGCACACGACTCAAGACCTGGGACAATCAGTGTATCCAAAGCCCCTGATACCAACATCGATCAGTGCTAGGCACATGACCAAAGAAGTCTCTCTTCTTTTTAGAATAAAAACTGATAACGTACTTGCAGAATAAGGGGAAGCTGACAAAAGGAGACATGAGAGATGAAGGGAGAAATAGAGCCCTGATACATTATTTTAGCCCCTAGATCCAGACGTCCTGATGTTAGAATTAATCTAGATTTCTAAAAGTCGCATTTACATTCTTAAATCAATTCCTTTTCTTAATAAAGGTGATTTGAATTAGGTTAGTGCCTGTTTCAAAACAGCAGAAGTAGCCTGAATAATATGTCAGAGATGAACTTAAGGGATACGGCTGCAAGAATATGGACTGGTATAAATTCACTTGAATGTTTCTTGCCTATTGTTGGTGTCATCCATTAATAAGTAATTTGAGTATAATTGACTCAGTGCCAGAAATGATTGTCACAAATTAATAACTTGAGAATTACCTGCCTGTGCATTTCATTATCATGCAATGCTTGTATTCTATAATAAAATCCTTTTTACTCATTCATTAAATTGATCACTTATTAAAAAATATTTATTAAGTGAAAGATATTGGGCTAGGCTCTGTGTTTTATGAATGAAAGAGATAAAGTCATTATCCTTGTGGAACTCATATTTTTAATACTATTTAAAATATTGAGATATTTAGATTTTCAAGAAAAAGAATGTTGCTAATCTTAACAGTATCAATGTTGAGATGGTGAATGTTGAATGATAATTTTAAAAGTTAAATTTCAAAAAATCCGTTCAGCTGTTTTTTGAGACATGACCAGCAGAGTGAGAAAATCTGTTTTATTCGTTTTTCAAAAGTTGCCCTTTTCTAATGTCAAGCAACTACACAACGGATGAACTTTGGAAGTGTCAGTCTTGGAGTGTTATGCAATTTGTTCTGAGTATGAATTAGTCAGGCTGAGCATTTGAGTGCATTAGAAACAAGGAAGATGAGCTGAACACATCCCTAAAGGGCAAAAATACTGTTAGGTCTGCTTAGCTCAGTCTGTGCGCCATTTCTTTGACAGTGGAGATTTCCCAGTTTTACTGTACTGTGATCTTATCTGCCAATATATCCTTAAAGTATTATGGTCAGGACATAATGGGCAGAAGACTGGGAATAAAGTAATGACATACTCTTTTGAGTTGACTTACTATCCAAAAATGAATAAACCTGCTTCCCACAAAAGATGAACGATATAAGAACACTTTTTTCTATAGTTGTGGTGGTTCAACTTTGACTGTACCAGTTTAAAATGAAATAATTCATTTTCTCAACCAGCATTTTATCTGAAAATCATAAAGCCATTAGTGTGATTTTGTTTTAACTGAATTCAAAAATTTTCCAGTTGAAGTGGCCAGTGTCTTTACTATTGTAAAATCACGCTGTCATATCCTAAAAGACACTTACCAGTGAAAGGTCCAGGATACATACAGTGATACCCACATATTAAAGCCACAATATGATCCTAGGAAGTAGCAAGAGTTATGAGGGGGAAAAAAATGCAATGGAGCAAAAACGAGAAGTTCCAGAAGCAGATGAGTAGAAGAAGGACCTGCTTGGAACAATGTCAACTCATGTTTTGCCTCCTCTTCTTCTGCCTTCCCTAGCCCCTGATAGCCTCTCTCTGAACGCTGAAATCTACACCTGTTTCTGGGACAATCTTAATAAGGACAATTCATAGCTAGAATATATCTTTTTTTTTTTTCTCTGATTCTGGGAATTATTACCCCCCAATTTCATGTGATTCCCATGACACTGTCAGAGAAGAAGCCCTGTACTTCCCATCCTGTGTTCTGGCTATGCCATCACTCAGGGTACAGAGATTGGTCCACAGGTGAGCACAATACCCAAATAGAACCAGTCAAGACTCTTATAATATTGACACTGTGAGAGACATTGGTTACTCTTGTGTTTATTTTTTAGATGACTTTATTGGAATGTTTCTTATGTACCAAACACTATTCCAAGTGGTTTATGTAGAAGAAATCATTTAATTCTCACAACAACTTTACGAGCTTTGATACTATTATTATACTCATTTTATAGAAAAAGAAACTAAGGCTCAGACGTGTTAAGTTGTTTTCCCTAGGTCATATAGCTAGTAAGCTGCAGGACTACAATGCTAAACAATACTGGCTCAAGCTGCTTTCTCTTACCAACTTAGGATGCTATTTCTCTTCTGAAATTGTAAATTATAACCACCACATAAGCCTGAGCAAACTAGGGGTCTTGCTTGAAAACAAAACCAACAGAATAAAAGCACAGCCAATAATAATAATAATAAATAGTAATAATGAAGAGGGAGAGATAGACTTACAATGGCATTATTTAAGCACATCTCTACTCAATCTTAGAATGAATAGCAACACTTCCTTCCTCCATTATTTTTTCTTTGGTAGGCTGTTTCTTCTCCAGTAAATACAAAGAGAATGATTATTGTCATGTGATACCCAAGATCCTTTGCTGTCACATTCCGACTGCCTGGTGACACATCAAAATGACTGTTTCAAGAATTGAAATATAGAGTAAATGGCTATCCTTCCTGGCAATAGCCTTGAGTGTTTATTTGTTTACCTTACTTCCCTCATGTTTCCATTCTAAGAGCCTTGTATTGACATAGACTTTAGTAATTCATACCTGTGATTGAATTCAGGTAAATGTGATGGAGGTGGCACACGTAATTACATATCAGAGAGTGTTACATAGTAAAAGAAAATCATCTATAGGTGCTTTTATGCTCCACGGCATGAAAGTGACACTTAGGCCTCGTCATAACACAAAGAGGACTCTCTGTCATTTTCTACCTATCTTAGCACCCCAAAAGGGTTAGTTTGCAAATGGTAACAGAGAACTCAAGCAGAAGATTCCCACATGCAAAGATTGCCCTTGTACACATATTCTGCATCCCCTTTCTCCACTTCACTACAGGCTTTCCCCATGCCCTCATTCTGGACCAGCTCTTCAAGTTTCTATTGTTTTGAGAAGCAGTTATAGAAAGGTATTTCAGAGTTTTCGGTAAAGTACTTCTTTACCAAAAGGAAGAAAAAGTATGTCACTGTTTTTGCACCTTATTTCTTGTAGCATATAAATAGAAGTACCTAAATGGGACAAGCTAATGAAATAGTAAAAAAGCAATAAGCCAGAGTTGTTTCTGCCCTCAGCACCCACTAACATACAGAACACTTCTCCCCTCTTAGCTGGTGAAACCTTTTACACACAAAGCCAGTACCCAAATATGATACTTCCTTTGTCTGGGAAGATAGTCTGGTGTTTATTCTTCAGCAATTCCTGAAGCTCTGAACAAACCGTGATTTTCTTTACGCGCAGCTCTGTCGGCTCTTCGGAACCTGTAGCTGAATGTCTAACATCAAATAACTTTAGCCTTTAGAATTTATTTTCAAAATCCTTTCTATTTTGCTCTTATAAAGCTGCTTCCCACATAGATCCAGATAAAACATGACCCTCTCTTAATTTCTGTGGCTTTCTGTATTACTTCCTTTACCAGCTGAGGCCAAATTTTAAATTATCTCTGT